TGACCTGATTTTTTCAAACAGATAAACTACTACGATGGACCGAGAGAGTCAATAGATTTCGGGGACGGCAAGAGAGTATCCGTACAGAAGAACAAGGATTACCAGTCCCTCTCATGCATCCTACCTGAAAGTTACCCCAAAATTGAGGCTGTCTGGTGAGTTTCCAACTTCAGTTTTGGGTTTCTGGCTTGTTTTAGTTGGGTTGTGACTAGTTTTCTAATTAGTTTTTAATAAGCTCATGTTCACTTCTTCCTTTCGAGAGTTGAGATTGATTTTGCGTTCTGTTTAAGGTACAAAAACGGTGAAAAGATAGCAGATGAACGACGAATGTTTCATTCTCCCCCGAGAAACTTACTTTGGGAAGACAAAAGATATTCGGAGGGGGCTCTCATAATCATGTTAGTATAATTAATTAATATGTATAATTAATTAGTATAATTAGTTAGTATAATTAATGTTAGTATATATATATTATATAATCATGTTAGTATAACTATAACAGTATAAGGAGAAGTATTATATACGGAGCAACGCTGATCTGACATTATTTCACTGTAATATATATAGTGCTATCTTTTGTAAACCTTGTTGTACGGCGAATGATAAGGGGAAATAAGTAATCTTTACTTATGACAGTAGACGGTAGAGATTAACATAAGAGTGCTGTGTACATTGTACACATTGTACATATTGTACAGACAGTGCTGTGTACTGACCTCTAACTTATTTGCCATCGAGCTGTCTCGTCTGATAGATTTTTGGCTAATTTGCACATAAAGAAAAGTTTAAGTGTCTGAAATCAAGATTTGGAATATCTGCCTTGCCATTGTCCACCGAAAACTAAAATAAACAGGTTTTTGCTACGTATCAACCTTGCTCAATCCCTCAGTTAAGTATGAAAAACCACTGATGCATGATAAACAGTTTCTTTATAAATAAATTTAAGTCTATAATATTATAATTGACGTATTTCACAACACTTTTATTTCCCTGTTTTCTGTTCTAATACACGGTACATCTTTACCAGGTATATTGACCGGGAAGATAAGGGGGTGTACGACTGTAAAACAACTTATAACGGTACTGAGTACTTACTACAGAGATATACCCTGCGCGTTGTCGTGAGTTCACTTTCACTTTGCCTTCAAAATAAACTCAGAAAAGACTTATTGACTATGTGTTCAGTTTATGTATTTACAATCTAAATTTAGCTATATATCATCTTACTTCTTATAATGCAAGGTAAAGTCGCTGTGTATATTTATATGTCTATATCCGTATTAAACTGTACGTGGACGCGGAAGTAATCCCAGTAACACCTTCAAACTTTGCGACACAAATTTATACGAGCAATTTCATTATTTCATGGTCTCTGAATTCTTCAAATCCCATTTACTACAGAAAGGTGGCCGATTCCCTAATTTCAACTTGATATAATGCTATGTCTCAGCGGGTAATATATAGATCATAAAAGTTATTTTCCCGTAGCTTCATGATACAAACCCCGATTCACCGCGGCCATTTCTTTCCCAAAATATGGATGAACATACAGAACGCGTACAAAACAAAACCCCGATTTCTGCAAACCAGGACCCCCGGCCTCCTTGCCGCCTTGCGGTTACAAATGCAGGCTTTTTTTCTTTTATTATCAAACCTCAAAACCTTATTCAGACATAAATCATTTCAATCGCTAAGTACAGAGATATTAGTTTCTTGAATCAGTAATAGCCCCTTTTAAGAAAGTCGTATCTGCTACATACCAGGTACCCACCACTAAATCCTACATTTTGCAATGCTCATCTCCATGTTACAGTCCGTAGGAGGGTACAATTAGGAAACAATCCACCAAACTAACCATACTAAATCCCACGAAAATAAATAAATAAAACTGATCAATAAAGTTTAAAATCAGCTAAATACCAGGGAGAGGTTCAAGCGTCCAACCTGATAAAACCGAGTAATATAGTAACGGTAGACGGAGAGAGCACGTACGGAGGACAGGCTACTCTATACTGCTCCGGTATTGGCAAACCAGCACCTCGTATATCTTGGAATAAGGTACATGGTGATACACTTTAATTTACTTATTAGTTTACGTATTTAACCGATATAATGTGAAATAATTAGGACTACTGCTTTACTTATTAGTTTAAGTATTTGACTAATATAATATGAATTGTAGGAACACTTTAGATAAGAGTGCTTTAGATAAGAGTGCTTAGAGTAAAGTATTGGTTAAGTATTAGACAGTTCAAGTTTACACAGTTCAAAATAAATTAAACATTGATTATATAATCGAAGTAATATAACAAGTATGTTTAATTTAATTAATATAACAGATATATTAAGTAAAGTGTTTTCTATCAGATGGATGGTTCCAGAGTAGAAACAAGCGAGAAATTCCTGCTCCAAGACAACAGAAGACGACTTGTGATTACAAACGTTAACAGTGATGACGGTACATCTTACACCTGCTCTGTGACGGTCGGGTGAGTGACATCTCGTTACTATGTCATGTTGTCACGTGACTATGTCATCTTGTCACGTGACTGTCATCCTGTCACGTGACTGTCGTGTTGTCACGTGACTATGTCATCTTGTCACGTGACTGTCATCCTGTCACGTGACTGTCGTGTTGTCACGTGACTATGTCATCTTGTCACGTGACTGTCGTGTTGTCACGTGACTATGTCATCTTGTCACGTGACTGTCATCCTGTCACGTGACTGTCGTGTTGTCACGTGACTATGTCATCTTGTCACGTGACCTTGGCATTAAAAAATAAAACATACGATAACCCACTCTAATCACGTGACACGTAGCTCCTTATGAGCACATACCTGAGTTTCATTCACAGAGATGGTTCATACAAACACAATTTTAATTAAAGTTGTTTTAATTAAATTGTTCAGAATTGCTTAGACGGCACGGTAATAATTTAAACGGTCTGATTCATTGATAAGTATAACGAAGAAATGAGGAAACAAAACATCATGCAGTATAAAAGGAGCAAAATATTTATGAAAATGGAAAAATTATGAAAACCGAGCATCCTATTTTATATATAATATATATAAAAATAGGATGCTCGTTTTTATTATATTATGTATCCTACAGGGATATTTAAAACATATATTTAAAACTGCCTCCTCTCAGCGCGTGAAAATGTGGTCATGTGATACGGCCAGGGCAACGTGGTCATTTCACGTGACAGTAAACCTTGTAAACCTCGTGACAGTAAACCTTGTAAACCTCGTGACAGTAAACCTTGTAAACCTCGTGACAGTAAACCTTGTAAACCTCGTGACAGTAAACCTTGTAAACCTCGTGACAGTAAACCTTGTAAACCTCGTGACAGTAAACCTTGTAAACCTCGTGGTAGTATGTCCTTGACAAACTATTGATTCTGCATATTCTAATAATTTCGTATAATTTGTCCGGTTCCCAATTTGTCAATATAACGTCTCCTGATTCTTGTAGCGATGTGTTCACACTTCACACCCGTGCCGAGACTGGTCACTAACTGGTCACTAACTGGTCACTAACTGGTCACTAATTGGTCACTTACTGGTCACTAACTAGTCATTAACTGGTCACTCACTGGTCAATTACTCCAGAACCTTCCACAGGGGTGCTGGCAAGAAAACTCAGATTGTTAGCATGGATATAATTCCCCCGGTCTCAGCTCAGATTACATTTGTAGAGCAGCCCAAGTCTCAGATAATCTTTACAAACAGATATCCTACATTCTCTCTCAAGTGTTCTATCAACCTGGCCGAGTAAGTACCGGTCTCTTCTTCCGTTCATTTTATTTTTAGTTTCCGTGCAAATTATTACGCTGAAATAAAATTAAAAGATAAAATTGAACTACAAAAACTCAAAATCAACAAACCCTCAGGTTTATTGGGGTAGAAGGAAGTATGATGCCAGTACTTTACTGGTTAAAGAACGGTAACCAGTTGGGCTTCTCTAGTCGGAGAAAGTCCACAACCAGACAAGACTCCGAGACCAATGTGTTGGAGAGCTCGATAGAGTTTGTCTCTCCGAATGAGAGTGATTTAGGTTCGTGTTTATGTTGTGGTTCCAGTTAGCCCTATTTTCTAATGAAGTATGCTAACAACTGGCGGAGGAGATCAAATCGCTTTTACTTGTAACTCAAACTTACACCATCTCCCGCTACCTTATCTTACTTTAAGTTGTTTGATTTATCAGCTAAATATAATGCCTGTGGTAGGAATATATCAGTGTATTGCACGAGGCACAACACAACTGAGACAAGTAACAGCTTACGTAAACGTGAGGAGCACTGAGGGGGACTACAATATGGAGGTGGTGGAACCTAAATATGACTTTATCAGCGTTCCTATGACTGTAAGTATGATTTCATCAGTGTTCTGTGTTTACTCACAGTGGGGGAGTAGTACGTGGCTAGAAATTATATTATCATGTTTTTGTTTGTTTTGGTATATTTATGTCTTGTGCTATGCAAGAAACCGCACAATAAATTATCAAACGACTCCCGTCTGTTATGTGCCGGAATAGTTGGCGGGGTCCGGGACTCTACGGCGTAAGACTCTAACCCGCCGTCGTAGAGTCTTACGCCGTAGAGTCCGAACCCTGCTGTATATGACTGATGGGAATTTACTTTAAAACATTTTAACCAAGCAAATTTAAAAAATATGGTTAAGTGACGGTCCCTTATTTACAGGTGTCGGCAGCCGAAGAACACTGTAGGTCCTGGATGACAAACGGTCATTTAGTGAGTATTATGAGCAGAAAAGAGGCGGATACTGTCACCCGACTTCTCAAACAAGAGAGTGAGTAAAACTCTTATCATCTGTTTAGTGTTATCTTGCACGTGGAATAAAACTCTTATCATCTGCTTAGTGTTACCTTGCACGTGGAGTAAAACTCTTATCATCTGATTAGTGTTATCTTGCACGTGGAGTAAAACTCTTATCATCTGCTTAGTGTTATCTTGCACGTGGAGTAAAACTCTTATCATCTGCTTAGTGTTATCTTGCACGTGGAATAAAACTCTTATCATCTGCTTAGTGTTACCTTGCACGTGGAGTAAAACTCTTATCATCTGATTAGTGTTATCTTGCACGTGGAGTAAAACTCTTATCATCTGCTTAGTGTTACCTTGCACGTGGAGTAAAACTCTTATCATCTGCTTAGTGTTATCTTGCACGTGGAGTAAAACTCTTATCATCTGATTAGTGTTATCTTGCACGTGAGCGTGAGCACTTTACGGACCTAGAGTCGAACCGTTTAAAAAACCGAGATTTAGACTATAAACAAAACACGTATGTATTAATGCTTTTCAAACAAAGTTACAAAGAATTGTTCTGTAGCGCTCAGTAGTGCTCAGGAGAAACTTTTAATGTTGTGTTTTACACTTTTACTGGTGCCAACTCTAGATTATCATAAGCTAAATGTAATTCTAACACTGGCTTCATGTTCAGATATAGAGCAAGCCTGGATAGGACTAACTTGTGAACGGTACTCTGGCACCTGGCTCTGGACACAACCTGCCGACGATTCCAGCAAATTCAGTTTCTGGGCTGAAGGTGGGTTAACTAGTAACTACCCTTCATTATCACGTGGCACTTCATTGTCACGTGACACTAATTTTTGGCGCCACACCATTATGTTTACAGTATGCACTAGGCACTGAAGGGGTATCCTAGGAATTTTTTTGAAATTTTAACAGGTACCCCTCCTCATTTAACCCTCAATTATAAAGTTTCCTATCATTCGGCTGAGTCGACCGAGGAGATCGCATTGTTCCAATGGATCCTCAGCTACTTTCTTAAGCACCTGATGATGTAACTTAACAGTACACTCTCAGAGAACCCTGATAACCTGTTACGCGGGTGAAGAGTACGCTATAATGGACACAAGTCTGGAGGGTCGGTGGCTGATGTCCGACTGGCCGATAAAAAGTATCCCTTTGTGTGTAAACAGTACACCAAGACGTGTCCTAGTATTAGAGAGTACTACAGTGGTAAACTTGAACCGCTTAATAAAGTGAGTCGGGGTAAACTACTTCAGCTGAGGGGGATTCTTTCAATTTTCTTAGAAATTATTTTTAAATTTTTCTTAGAAAGTTTGGATTAGCCGGCATTATTACTTTATTATTACTATTGACTTGGTAATCTTCCTGGACTCGCAAGTGTTAGATCTCAAATCTAATGGACAGCCGTCACTCACCAAACGACTCACAAACAATATCATTACCAGGTTGAAAGTAAAGATACAAGATATGGGGTCGGAGAGAGTATAACTGTAACCTGCGTTGATCGAACGGTAAGATTCTAAACGCAAGGAAATATTTTACAGTTTTGAAAATTTCGGCGTTTATTTTCTTGAGAGTTCAAAAAAGAATAAACGTCAGCTAGTTATATGTTCTCTAAACTTAGAAGGAAACTGAAATAAACATTGACTAAACCCTCAGGTTCAGATCAAAGAAACTCTAACTTGCACTACGTCGGGGAAATACTATCCTGACGAGGGGTTTCGCCTGTCCCGTCTACAGTTCTGCTCCTTCACAAACATTTTCATCATTTATTCTCCTAGTGTCGGTTATTAGCAGGTTAATTATCAGATGTCCTGAAATTATTAGCTGTCTGTATTATAGGTTTCTGCTTTCTATAGCAGGGAACTGTTTTGTATCATCTTTTAATCAGAAACGAAACGATAGTAAAATGTGGGTCCCGCACTGTTGGGGACGATTGTAAGATATTTATTCAGAGTTTTGATGTCGAAGAAATAAATTGTGATGATTGTGATGCCATTTGGTGATTGAGCTCTCATTTCCGAAAATAAGACATTCAAAACTGACAGACTTGCCAACTGGAATCATAGTTTTCAGCGTGTATGACAGTTTAAAACTGGATCGGACACGATGCAACAATTGGCTCTGAAAACCCGTTTTCTGTACTTCTAACCTTGAAACTGAAGGAGGACCGAAATAATGTTCACACAAGCCATGCCCTTATTTGGGTATCACGTGCTATGTAGAAGTTTTAATATTTACGGATTTCCCTCTAAATTCATATTCATGAGATTTAAGCATTGAGCTTTTGTAAACAGACCTTTTGAATTTCGAACTTGCGTAGATTCCCTAAAGCCATGCCCTTATTTGGGTATAACGTGTCATGTTCCCTAAAGTTACATTATCTTGGTCATAATACAGAGTTCTCAGTTCAAAAAGATTGGAGAGCATTACATACTTACTGCATAGTCCAGTATTGATAAATTGGCGAAATTTCCAATAAAAATCATCTGTTTTTTATATAATGATAAGAATGAATAAGAATGATCTCAAATACTTTTGACATTCAGATGGTAGGTTCGATGATTAATTAATTTTAATGTTGCCTCATTTTTATCGAATTCCTTAAAAATTTTTATTTGAGTTGTATCCACCAATTAGTATATATGTACAAGTTTAATTCACCTGGGCCAATTTGATGTTAACATGTAACGACATAAGATTTAATTTCTATTTCGTTATATTTTTAACGTAGACCTAATTTACTGTAAAACGGTTACATTTGGTCACAACATCTCATTTTTCATTATTCATTTAGCTGACATTTTATTTAAATTCGTTGACATTTATTCTATTACAGTAGAATGTCTTTTCGAGTGATTAATAGATATGGATACTGGCGGGGAGGTGATAATTGTTTGTTTACATTAATAGTGAGCACATGTTCAGGAGGCTGAGGAGGTGATAATTGCTTGAGGTGATAATTGCTAGTTTACATCTAAGTTTACATCAGTAATTACAATTTTAATTACAAAGAAGTTAACGAGTGAACGATCGTTTCTTCAGAATTTTCAAGGAATTCATAACTTTTTATTTTTAAAGAGCACACTCTGTGAATGTAATCAGGGATCCTGGACATTTAATTAAAGTGGAATATTAAACTATTTTTATTGATTAATATATTGATCTGTAAATAATGATAACTTATTCGTACGAAGTGGATTTTGTTTACAAACGCAAACTTGGCTTATTTTTATTGTACCACATACAGTTATGAACTAAACCGTCAGCTGCCAACCAACCTGATTCTGATTGCTGCCAGACGAGAGGGCCCCCTAGCTGTGATCTAACTGCCTAGTTGTACTTGTAGCGCGATGCGTTACTGTGCCGCGCCGCGCACTCAATGAGGCTTCTCACAGCGGCGAGATGCGCCGAGCTGCGATGAATTGACATCGTCAATTAAACTGCCTAGACAATTAAAAAGCAGACCCAATTAGTGGCAGAGTGGATGATCGGTCTGACAGTCAGGCTCGTCTGTTATTGAGTGTTATCATATCCAGTATATACTATTTGAATTAGATGACAGTTTAATTGTGATGGAAATTCAATCTATGATAATTTAACAAGTCAATTTACAATTTTCGTAGGATAATTAATGAAATTTACTGATAACTAAATCAAAATGCAATATACATCATTAACAGTTAACTGAATCTTATGCCCAAATGCTTTAGCTACTGCAAAAATATTCCGTCTTGTAAATGCTAGGTAATGTAGTAGTATAATAGGGTCTGTAGTCTGTAGATATTAGAGCCTTAAAGTTAATAAGGACGAATAGGGCACATCACGTCTTGTGGAGGTTCACCAGTGCAAGAAGGAAAGCGAGTTATACATATAATTGACCGTGACGGATGTTACTCGTCTAAGACTAAATTTCTTCGAAGTAGAGCCGGTTTCACTAATTCACTCGCCATGGATTATAGGAAATCGGAGCTTAAATTGAGTTTATTGCACGCGCGGTGGACAAATTGTGTGAAAACAACTGACACTGTGCTGTCACAAATAATGCGCGATATAGAGGTGACCAATGAAATCACGGCATTAAAAACACGCGATAGCGCGCGCTGGCGAGTGAATTAGTAAAATCCAAGTAGAGCGCCGCTTTCTTGTCGAAATATCAAATATAAACCGAAATAATTTCCATCGGTATTTTGTCGAGCTAAACATCCTGCACCCTTTGAACATAATCGAATTGCTTGAATCTCAAAAATTGGCGAGCTGGAGGCCAGTCTTACTGCTTACAGCTGTTCCAATAGGACGTATTAGAGCTATTTTTAATTGACGATGTCAATTCATCTCAGCTCTGTACAGTAGCGCATCGCGCTACAAGAGCTATTTCAGCTAATGAGTTATGTACAATTTAAGGTTAAGACTGGATCTGGAAAAGTCATTTTAGGGCGCACCAACTAGTTTCCAACGGTATTTTGTCGAGTGGAACATCCTGCACCCTTTGAACATCCTCGATTTGCTTCAATCTTAAAAATGTCGAGCAGCGAGCTGGAGGCCAGTCTTAAAGGTTCTAATTAAATAGGACGTATTGATGGCGCTAGGTTGTACTTGTACTTATACTTATAGAGTTTTAGTTGTACGATTATTGAATATTGAGGCTAATGTTTGATGGTTATTGGGAGGCATAGATTTTGGGCACATCAATCGATATTTTGCAGAACATGGAACTTCAGTAACAGTAATCATGAAGTTACCCTGAAAAATGTTTTAAAAATGTCCATTGAGCAAGCTAACCTCATATTCATGAGGAATGTTGTTAAATAAGCTTAGGGGCTATTGCAGTGCAAATTGTTTCAAAACCACTTGTTCAATGAACCGCAAGTTACATAATCATATTCATAGCACCGCGTTGGGTGTATGGCATGAATTTGACACTAATTGGTAATACCAGGAAAAATAAATCCGTGTGTTCTGATTAATAGTATCTCATAACATAGTCATAATATAACTTAGTATTAACTAGTTGCAGTGTTCAATGCAGATCGGAAAATTAAATTCACATCCAAGTAGTATAATTATTTATATCATGGTTTATTCAATATAACAGTACAATATGAATCAGAATTAGGTTTCCCGAGAATTAGGTTTCGCGAGAATTAGGTTTCGCGAGAATTAGGTTTCGCGAGAATTAGGTTTCGCGAGAATTGGGTTTCGCGAGAATTGGGTTTCAAATACTCTTGGTGTGGACAACATCACCAACAGCATAATAGAGTCATAGGTGTCTAGAAACTCAACGCCGTCCCTAGACTTAGAGTAGTCGTTAGTGAACAAAATGTTTGGGTGGATACTATTAAGCCATTCCATGAATTGTAATACTAATAGTTCCTCAACAGTACCAGGTCAAGCCATATAAATTTCATCACGTAATCTACCCCAGAATGATGGTCTATGAGGCGGGCCATATTCTAAATCTCCTTCATTAACTAAAATATCAATATTATCCATAGCACAATCTGCATACTTACATGAGTTCTTAGGACCCATCGCTGCTCTACGCTCCTGACGGTATGTTATTCCGTTAAACGAAGCAATGTTGTAATCAAGAGTAATTTCTAGTGCACTAATAATGTATTCTGTACTAAACAATTGATCACCACTACTCCTTTTATCCTGGGATGGGGCCTACTGTTACTAGTATAGTATAAGTACTACAATTTTGAGATGAAGTTCGAGCACGCTGTGAACCTGTAGGTCATGGTGGGAGTCCCTACCATTTTAACCTTCGTAACCCTCATGGTATCAGTTCTCAAGTTGCATTTCTCTGCTAAAAAGTCTTTAAGTCAGAGTGTCAAGGGTGATAGAAGTCCGAGAGCCAAGGTGATTAAGAAGTGGAAAGACCGAGCCAGTATAACAATAGTGATGTTCACTGTTCAGCACTCTGTTTCTGGTGTGTAACCTCCCCCGTTTTGTGAACATGATGCACAACATGACCAGCAGGTTATTCGAGGTGAAGTACCCAGGGGTTTACTTTGGTACTCGCTTCATGTTCTGGTACTCCTGGCACATTGCCAAGATGGAGAGTGTTGTGGTAGGCGGTGCACGATAAAAATAAACTTGCTCGGATTTTCAAAATTTTTGTACCATCGTTTTCTAGAGACTGTGAGAATTTTCACAGTATCAAATTTATCATACCTTTTTGGAATGATCAGTGAGTTTCGCCTAGGTGCCATATTTGATGGTGCGCGGCTTTTGGAGCAAAATTAGGTGTAAAAGTCGCGTAATTTGACGAAATTCGTTGATTTTTGTCGTATTATTCTGTCATATCTTCGGTTCCTGAACATGAATTATGCTGAAAATTTGTCAGAACCTTCCAATCATACTTAACTACCGAACCTAATTTAGTTGGGAGAGATTGGCCTTGACTAAGAGGTCTAAAAATGACAAAATAGGTATAAATTCGTTGATAACTCAAATTCTGAGCATCGAAATTGCTCAAACTAAATTAGGTTCAGTAGAACATAAGTGTTTACGTAAGCTGACCAAATTTCAACAAAATTGTTATATGGGAAGTATTATAACTTTTCGATTGTTTCCAAAATAATGTGCTGGCCGAAATAAGAGCTAAAAAACCATTCAATGGTCAGCGCGCGCGTCTTATTGTCGATGGCGCACTGCCTAGTTGTGGTAAACGCAGCTCTCAATCCAGTATTCTACTACTGCAGGATGAGACGGTTCCGGTTGTGGTGCGACCTTGTTATA